CTTGTATATCGATTTTAACTTACTTGTTTTGAAAATAGAATTACTTTCAATAAATTTATCTCAATTTGAAAACCAATCAATTACAATATATATAGATGTAAAAATGTTTACTTTATATTGATGTTGTTAAAGTATTTCAATAAACGATAAAATTGATTTAAATCAATATTTAACTACATAGTAATAGTCTTTCAACATCAAAAGGAGATGATAATAAAATCAAAAATATCTTTCATTATTTATAGGTTTTGTTGAAAAGGGCGTATCAATAAAAAATTAATAAGAATTTTAAAGAAAATAATCAAGATATTTTATATCTAAAAGAAATAAATACAGATGATGACTTTCAGTTCGTTTTCAAACTCTACTTATACATATAATAATATATAAGACAACACAAACCATAATATATCTCTAAAACAATTACATACACTCAATATAATAAGAAAAAGGGAAAATAAATACATACTCTAATTATAACAACAAAAAAAAAGAAAAATGTTAGACTATCTTATCAGTAAGAAAAGAAATTCTGATCCGTGATCTGGTGAATCGAAGTTAAAATGCACTTTGCCGTACACACACCCTTGATTGGATAAATTTTTTATAGAATGTCCGTTGAGTTTTCCTATTTCCTAAGCTGAAATTCGTTTTGAGTGGAACGCAACCGTTTCTGAGAAAAGTACAAGATACCTCAATAGAGGACACCACCGGTTTCTCGAATTTTGCACTTTTTTCAGAAACAGTTGCGTTTCACCCAAAACGAATTTCAGATTAGTCAATAGAAAAACTCAACGGCCATTCTATAAAAAATTTATCCAATGAAAGGTGTGTGTATGGCAAAGCGCATTTTGTCTTCGATTCATCAGACTACGGATCCAGAGAACGTCACAGGACGTTTTTTTTCGTCCTGCCCTGCAAAATTGCAGGGCATCACCAAACCTTGTCCTGCTTTTCAGGGCGCATTGCAGGACATAAAAACCTTCGTCCTGGCAGGACACTTTTGCAGGACAGAAACTCGTCCTGCGTCCTGCCTGCAGGACGAGTTTTTAATTACGTTCTTCAAAAAGGTAAAGTATTATCTTAATATGAGATATGATGTCAAGTATCATACAAGTAGTCTTTTTATAAAAATCATTTATAATGATTATGTTAATTAATCTAATAACACGTTTTCTGGGGTGACCGATCAATTCGTCTCGATCATTTCGTCGCATATAAACGAGAACGTACATGAATTGAATTAAGTGATTTAGTTTAGTATGTTATTTAATTAATCACGTAAATGTATGCTCTACTATGGAATTGTTAGATCTAAATGATGGATAGAAGACGCACTTTGAGGGAACAAATAATTTAGTTCTAAAAAAGTTGCTTACAAAATCTTTCTGTTAAAGTGCAAATAGTCTGCTACTAAATGAGACTCAAGTTCTTTCAAGAGACGACTTCTGAAGAAATCTTCAGCTAAGAAAAAGCAAGAAGAAATGAAGGCAAAATTCGCTGTTACTTGGAGTGTATGACTCATTTGGTATTTTTGTGACTATTTTCTGTGATTTGTAAAGCTGCTTGGTCAGCGGATGAAGTGGCTTTGAAAATTTTCAAAATGGCATTTAGGTTTTCGGTGCTGCGAACATTAAATAAAAATAATCCTATTAAATTTCATAACACTAGAGTGTTCTTAGGATATCATTATTCAGAGGTAGCACATTTAAATCTAAAAAAAATATTAAATCAAGAAATAAATTTTTGAAAATTTAAATTTAAGAAAAAAATTATTTTTTTAAATGAAAAGTCAAACTTAAAACAAGTATTTTGAATTCAAAGTAGGGAAATTTTAGGAAAAGCTGATTCAAATTGATTTTGACTTTATTGAAGGTGTTACAAGTCAAACTTTTTTTTCGTGTTTTATAGAAATAAAAATAGTCCTTCCTCTACGAATTATGCTAATAAATTTGGGTGTTTGAGCATCTTTATTATATGAAATATCGAAGTTCAGAATTCATGTATGATTTATTCAGAAAATTTCATATTTATGAGGATATGCTGAACTTAAATACCAGATTTTCCTCTTACTTCTTATGTATTGCGGCTTAAGTCATGTATTTTCCAAATATCGATGACTAAATCAGATTAAAGCAATTTATTAGATTCAAAAAAAAAATTTTTAATTCAAACTTAATTAAAATTCAAATCTTTCGCGCTCAAAAATTTAAATTTTTTTAAATTTTAAAGCAGCCTAAATTGAAATTTAATTTAAATTTAGGTTAAATAAATTGTAAATTAACACTCCTATCATTTTTTGCGAAAAAAAGTATTATCAACAAAGAGTCAATAGACTCTAATGGAAAACATTTTTAGGAGTGATTAATTAAATAACATACTAAACTAACTCACTTAATTCAATTGATGTATGTTCTCGTTTATATGCGATGAAATGATCGCGACGAATTGTACTAGTGCCGTTTTCTGGTATACATGAAATGAAATGAACAAAAAGTACTTAAGATTCATAAGAAAAAAAAGGAACCAGAAGATAATCACAATGATAAACGATTTACAATCTTATTGATACTGAAGATGAGGTACAATATCAAACATGAAAGTACTGTTTACATAAAAAAATGTAAAATAATTTCGTTAGAAAACCTCAAGACACGTTTTGCAATAGAAATGAAATGAACAGAAAATAATACTGAGATCCATAAGATGAACAGAAGAATAGCAGAAGAAACATTAAGATACAAAGTGCGCAATGCGATCGAAATTGACAGATAAATACAAAACTTTTTTTACTTTTTGTACTTGAATATCTCCTCCGAACGAATAAATAATGTATTATCAATTTGACTTGGTGATAAACGTGTTCGTCTTTGAGTAACTGTTAATCCAGCGGAACTCAATAACCTTTCCATCGAAGCACTAGTTGCTGATATAGCATATATTCTCCTTACCACTATTGATAAAAGCAGGAATTACGTCTAAGAAGTGTTGATTATATTAGGTTTTTCATGTTATAACTGCCCATCGCTCTACAATCAATAACTAAACACTTTATAGAAATCCATATGAATCTCAAATTCTTTGTGTAGCTCATTTATTTCTGTGCTGTGTTTTCAATTCCGTCCTGCAGGACTAATGAATGGTCCTGCAGGTCCTTCATGTAAAAAAAGATTGTCCTGCTCCTGCATTGGCGTAAGAATTGCAGGACAAAATCTCAAAAATGCAGGGCAGGACCTGCGTCCTGCAGGCAGGGCGATGCAGGTCCTGTGACGTTCTCTGTACGGATCAGTTTTCTCATTTTCTTGTTCGACAAAGACATGATGACTAGCGTGTCTATGTTTTCAATCAACAACGAAGATAACAGATGACATAAGTATATGTAAAGTATTGCACTATTGAAAAAGTCGTGTCTCTCGCTTTTTGAATTTGTATATATTATGTATTTTTGTCGTTCCCTCGGCTGAAGAAAGGGTCATATGAAATAAAAATGAGTTTGTTTGTTTGTATGTGTCAGAGTCAATTGTCTAAGACCAAAGATAAAGGATCATGAAGTCTAAGTCAGATAAGTGAAGAGTAGTTAAGACAAATTAAGGCTGGTTAATTTTTAAAAATATTTAAATGAATTGTTTTACTTTAAAAAAAGGGTCTTTTTCAAAAAAAACAATGTCTTTTCTTATAAAGTTTGACCGAAGATTTTCGGGGTCGAAGCATTCGAATTTATAGGTGGTCTCTCAAAATTTGTAAATTTGATTTTTCAGTCAAGACGTTTTTTTTGAAGATGACCGTTTTGTTATAAAATTTGAGTAAATATATTTTCGTTCAATCTTTCTATAAATTCAACTAGATAATCTATTAATATAATTATTCCACTATATAGTCTTCACTACCTGCAGTAGTCCTTGAAATGTGTAGTAGTAAAATAATAAAAACATATTTTAGAAGAAATGATGAAACAAATAAGTTCTCACTCTTGATTGAACATAAAAGATCGGAGTTTGAAAATGCTTTCACGTGTGAACTTACCACATTCCTTATATGAAGGTATAGGCAAATTTGATACTGAATTATTTTAGTTTTCAAGCATAGAGTGTTTCCCAGAAGATGATGAAGGGTGCGGGTGTGAGTATGTGGGTACGACTGTAACTGTGAGTGTTTATCGTCTCTTCGTTCATAACTATAACCCTACCCATACCCACACTCATAATAGGTTTCACTTCATTCTATCTATTAATTAACAGATATTATAAATTCTTCAATATAAAAATCATATCAACTTGTGCTATTTGTTAATCTTTCATTAGATTTCATATTTATTTTAATTTTTTTGTGCGCTTAATTAAGGTTGACACGATTTACTGTCCATTGATTATTTCGAACAAGGGAAGTCAAGAAAAGAATAGTCATTTCAATCATCAATGTATTGTAAGGAAAAAGAGAATTCTAATACATATATGAATAAAATAAAATTTCTCTAATCAATGAACAGTAAATGGTATACACATTTAATTAGGTATCCCTGCTCCTCGTTTCAGCTTCTTTATGAAGCAATCTCAAAACAAATGTTCTTTTGCAAAAGAAAACTGACTTTTAAAAAAATTTCCTTTATTCTACAGAATTATAATATCTTTATAATTTATTCTTTCAGTCACGAAAACACTCTCTATCATCATGGACATTTACATCTGATACAATTTTAATGGATTATTTGGAAAAAGAAGAAATTTCACTTTCTAAAAAGGAAAAATGTTTATATGATTGATTAGTCTTTTTTTATGTTAAAGAAAGAAAATTGTTTTTTGTTTTGCATAATCTACTAATACATTTTTTTTCTTTAACAACTTTGATTTTCAATGAATAACATTTCGTTGTTGCTTTAACATACAAAGCAAATTTCAAAAAAAGTTTCACTTAATTCATATTGAAAAATTCTTACGACTCTTTTACAAAAAAAAAGAAGTTTCAATACAACAAAACAAAGAAATATTCGAAGTTTTATTTTATTATAACCATACAAAAAGTGTATCTTCATCTATTGTGTTAGGAACTTCTGTTCGAAAAGAAGAGGTAATTGAATTCTGTAGATTGCGTAATTTTTTCTCATAAAGTTTACCATATTTAATACAACCAATAATTGTGAGAAAATTTAATTTTGAAAGACCATTGATAAGTATATGTGACATTTTAATGAATTGATTGCTATTACCATCTAGTAATATGACTTGCAAATATGGTAATCGTTCGACAATTAAATAGGCAATATTTATCAAATTTGGTTGATTCCAAAAAGTAATAAGATTGAGTTGTCGTAATCCATTTGACATAAGCATATTGCACAAAGAAGCATCGTTAAGAAGATCAATTAATATTTCCTCTTTTAAATTAATTTGACTAGCATATTCTGATCGGTAATGCAGTTCTAGAATACGTAGATTAGTCAGTTGTGAAAAGAGAAAGTGAAGATGAATTGAATTGAATGGTTGAGCAATAATAAGCGATATGACTTGATGCCAAGGAACGATAGATGGTGACAAATAAAGAAACTCATCGTTGATTTGATCATAATTGTCACTCATACGAATCGTATTGCATCGAAGCAACTGACTGTTCAAGGCACGTTTATCATATGACCATCGACTGTGTCTAAATACAAAAGCAAAATGTCCGTTATTTAAAAAAAAAACTGTCTATTTTATACCCATGCACACTATTATGTAGATAAGAATGGATACAGAAATATTTCTCCATTCTTGGTAATGTTACAGCTGTAATAGAATACATATTTTCTTCGAAAGATAGTTTTAATTCAATTGGCACTGGTCCTTTGAGCTGTTCAAATGTGTCGGATAAGATTTTATTTGTTTCTAGTGGTATCATTACAATTGCCACAGACCAGATAACATAAAACGAATATAAACATTGACTGGAAAGCATCGATAATAAATTGTGAAGAACATAGGGACCATTCACATGTGCCACTAATATGAAATTCGTTAGTGAAAATAAAACATCACGTTCAAATAACTCATTAATTGATTTCACATTCATGATGCAGTCATTCCATTTTATATTAAGATAACGTAGATTCGGAGCAAGATGTCTATTAATGGGAATAACTCGACTAAAATGAATTAACAAGATTATTTCGCAACAATAAAAAATGCGTCATTCATATCATTCAACTTTTCCTTTTATTTATCTACGCAAGAGTCAAAAACACGAAAGAACAAACATTTCTTTCAGTTAAAATCTTTCCATAATGTAATCGTATCTATAGTCATACTTACTTCGAAGATTTTCTATCTTTTAAATTGAGTATATCTTCTATATGACTTTTTCTTTCTGACTTTCTGCTAAATTACCTGCCTCCTGATTAGTATTTAACAAATAATACTTCTGATAAAGTTATGAGAAAAATCCAAAAGAAGTCTCATAATATAAACAAGTCAAATGTTTCACGACAAGTTTCAGTAAATTTTCTTCAATAATTATTTTGCCTCCATTTCAACGACCAATAAGTTTCCGAAATACATTCTCTTTTATTACAAAGTAGTTTCTACCCTCTATGAAAATCTCCATCTTTTTCTAAATCTTTGATCTTTGATTTTCTTAGAGACATTTTTCTATTACGACCTATTCTAGCCTTGTCTTTAGAGCTGCTCGATTTTTATTTAGAAATAGTTTTCCATCTTTCATCATTGATTTGAGTCTAATATGTTTAAATCTCAAGTCTTAAATAAATACTAAGGAAATGAAATACAGAGAAGCTTTTTCTTTGCAAGAATAAATCGAAAAATGTCACAATAATAAACTCAAATACTAACGAAGTATATTCAACTTTGTTACTTCTTTCTGTAAGTGGAAAGGTCTAGTCAATACTTAAGAACAATACAAATAGTAACTTTTATCTTAATCTCACTGAAAGTACATGATTTATATCAATCATTTTTACATACATTCATCTATAATTGCATATAAAAGCTCATCATTTTGACTGATTTTCTCATATTTTTTTTTGTCTACATTTCAAAATCTAATATATCACTTATTTGTAACTTATGAACCGTCTGACATCTTTTCGCTATTATTAATATTCGACTCTAAAATTGAATACAAATTATTAAAAATTTATATTATTTTCATTAATTTCATAAATTAAAATATATGTTATATTAAAGAAAGAAACTTACTTGTTATGATCTTGTTTTAGTGGATGTTTAGGAGGTAGCCAAGGAGCACTCCGTTCAAAACTGAATTTTTCCAATTGTGGAAGATGCTGAAATAAATATGATAGAGAGCCTGGTGAGCATTGTCGAAGTACAAGTGATCGTATGTTTAAAAGATTAGTTTGAATAGGCATAAAGGTTCTTTCAAATGGTAGAACGAGTTCAGTATCGAGAATATAATGTATGTATCGCCAAAAACGCAGATGACATACACGTAATGAAGGAAATAAGTGAAAAATTCGTTCATAATATGCGCCTTCAGGCACACCTATATACGTATATGCAGCACGATCAGTTGTTGGAAAGTGCATACTAAATATGATGAGAGAATTCATTGGTGGCAATAAATTGAGAATCAATTCAAAAGAAGAACGTTTAATGTCAATTAAAGATAAATGACGAAGATTGATAAATGTAGATACATGTTCAGCTAACCATAAGTCATTATCAATAGCTGATGCATTTGAGATCAGAGATCCGAGACTCGCCGAGTTTTCCCGCTTCGTCTCGCCTCGCCTCGTGGCGAGGCGAGGCGGCATTTTTCGCACCGAGGCGAGTACGAGCTGATTTTGTGACTCGCCGAGTCGACTCGCCTACTTACAATGTAAGTTTTGGAAAATAAATGGTAAATTTCTAACGACACCGCTCGATTTTATTACAGATTTTTTAAGCGTTTCTATTAGTGAAGTTTAACTAATAGCGGTAATAAATGAGTAATAGATGCGTGGACATATATTTATCTCTTCAGACTAGTCGAGCGATTTTATTCATGTAATTCCTGGTGTGAGTTTAGCAGTGGAGCTTGGCTATGGTATAATACTTCAATAATTTAGAGTATAGAATCAATTATTCATACCACTATGTGTTCGGCAAACTCTTGTTCTTCTTCCAGGAACATAATCGATGTTTCACAAGAGACTTATTCAGATTCTCTCATTGCTGGTCATATGCTATTTAATACTTCTTAAATATCGTTTAAAAAGATTTACAATTTGCTCATGCGTAAAGATAAAGCTCAAATCTTTATCGAAAATGCGAAGAAACATATTGCGAGCTGCTGGAATCAATTTAGGTTTCAAGCTATTACTAATGATGAAGGTGCTGTGGAGACAAATTTAGACTTCTTTGTCTTGCGTAAACCTTTCAATGTCACATACAACTTAATAACGTTATTTTTGATAGTTTCGTTGACTTTGCTCTATTTATACAAAAAACTTGAATGATTATTACTTTGTTATGTTTGGAATGAGCACATATTTTTCTATCGATCTAAATAGTTTATATTTTATTTTCATTTTGTTGAAATTTAGGATACATTCCGTAAACCATCCAATACAAATTTTTTTCATGGAATAAGTTTCAGACCATATGTGGGGTGTTTTCGTCGAAGGCTATTATTCACTGTGCAACTGGAACTCTTTACTTTTAGCTATAATGATAGGCCATTCTTTCTTCTATACGACTGCAGTTTTTTAATGGGATTATTCCTTGTTTTCATTAAAAATCTTCGCCGGTTTGTTGAGAATTTTTTTTACGAATTCTTTTATACATGGCTTCCCACTGTTTTTCAAATAAGTTTTGGTTGTTTTAAAATTTAACTTTCATCTGTGACTTAAAGCTGAATATACAGTGTCGATTCATACAATTTTAGGCAGATTTTAGCTCAGTCGAGGAAGTGATTTTTGGCAAAATAATATAAATTTGTTTTTCATGAATATAAAAATGTATCAAATTTTAGCATTAAAGGCTAATTTTCTACTCGACTTCGAGTCAGTTCTATTCAATGCTTTTCTATATGATTAAGCTGAATAGCAGTCTACCATCTAATTCAATATTAAACCATAATAACATGGATTTAACGGAAATACGTGCGTGCAAAAGTTTTGATTCAGTGATTCTTAGAATTGATCAAATTCTTCAACGAGACGTGAATAAAGTATAGCAAAAACCACATTGCTCGATAGAATGGCTCACGCTTTATGCAAATATATCAAAATTAGAAACACCTAAGGCTTTATAGAAATAGAAAAAAGGAAGAAAAGCTATGAAAAATAAGGTAAATGTACTGTATGCTTATAATTGGCATAGCACTTTATAGATGAACAAACATAATTGTTGAAGTTCACCAATTAGATTTAAAAAAAAATCTGATACAATATCCTCGTCGTCTTTCAGACAAAAATAAAAATTTCTTTCGTTTGTAATCGCCCAGGATCGATTAAACCAAACGAAGAGGAACATAAAAACTTTAAAAAATCTTCTTGTAGAATGAGTTTGTGTGAATACAAGGATGTTCTCGAAT